AGAAATCTTTTCGTACCTGCTAATGAAATGCTCTGTGAGAGCAAAGTAGGAATTATCCACGTTTCATTATATTTCTGGGTGCCAAGAGCATCCGCCTGCTCCCGGCACGTTGGGAGCACATCCCTCCGCATCAGCCCAGCCGAGGAAGGCAGAGCACATCCAGCAGCTCCCGGAGAGGACACAGGAGACAGAGCACTGAACCGTGGCTCAGTGGAGCTGAGCTGAAATCTCACCACTGTGGCCAAATAACCTTGAGGTGTTGGGTTGCAAAATAAAAATAAGGATGGCAGCCTCTTTCCTGGAGTAACTTGGAGGGGAAAGGGCTGCACCAGGGGATACGCAGCATCTCAGGCTGTATATCCCACTTAATCAACACCTGAATTAATTATATTCCTCCCTTTACAGCTGTCAGGCGTTTGACGGCTTGGGTTCCCACTCTCGCTATGCTCCCTTGCTTCTTTTAAGTCTCTGAATAAGCCAGACTCCCTGACCTCCCGATCTTTGCTGTCTCTCCCAGAGCATCTTCACTCTCAGGGCTGGGGTTTGGGGTTTTTTGGGGCTTCAGCTCTCACAGCGCTGATAGCACTGCTTCCCAGGCAGCTGCTCCAGATTTGCAAGAGCAGCACTGTGGGTTTACGGGGAGGCATCGGGCAGCTCCGGCGTGCTGCATCTCTCCTCCTCCACGGCACAAGAGAACCAAGCCCTTTCTCTTTGGCGATGAACCTGGCATCCTGCAAAAACCACCAGGACCCCACGGCACGTGTCTCCCGCGTAGCCAGGCTGCCTCTGCGTACGTGGATGTCTGTGGCATGTTACCAAAGGAAGATGCCCAGCAGCACCCTGCCACAGATAACTGCAAAACCCTCTTTCTTGCTGCTACTGCTAGCGGTGCTGCCGACAGCCAGCCTCTCCCCCACCATCACACACCTGCAGCCTTGCTGCTTAAAAATATATTCCCCCTTTCTGGCCTTTTTTGTCTTTCTAATCGCCTTCTATCCTTAATTCTGCTGAGGTTGATAATGCCTTGTGAAAAAAATGCTTCCAAAATTAAGATCCGTTAATAGAAAGCTGTTTTGGTAAAAGGGAGGTGCCTGCCAGAGCCTCCCCGCTCCCCATTTCACTCCCCCCTGGTGCTCAGCATCGTATGGTTTCTCGGCAGAGCTGACCCCCCCCAGAACCCCCAGGCTGAGCCCATTTTCCCAGTACAGGGTCCCACTAGAGGGCAATAGAAACCCAGGAAAAGAAATGCGGAGCTGAGCTGAGCAGCACTGCCAAGGGAGGGAGGGCCTGGCAGCACTGCCAAGGCTTCCTTCAGTTCAGTTTTCAGCTAAATCACGCCAAAAAAAAAAAAAAAAAAAAAAAACCAAACAAACAAAAAAAAACCCAAACCAAAAAATCTCAGCTGCTCCCCTGTAGCCCAGGCTGCTTCCCCCAGGTGGGATGTGCATCGGGCGAGGTGTGAGAGGCTGCATCCTCCTTCCTCCCAAAACCAGCCCCTGCTCACTGCAAAGGCGGGAACATCCCTCCCAGAGAGCCGGATCCACTGGACCTGGGAAAAAAAGAGGCTTCCCAAAGCACTAGAAGCCCATGGGTAATGCTTGATTTTGGAAATTTGCACAATATTTTTGCAGCAGCCCCTGGAGCCCCAGCTGGGGTGGCCGGACCTTCATGTCAGGTTCTGCACGAAGAAATGCAGCTGGAAGAGCCCCATCATGCTCCAGTAATTGCACTCCAGCAGCACATCTCACCCACTGGGAGAAGCCCACACAGGACAATGAGCACTTTTGGTTACCAGGCCTTCCTTTATTGGCAGAACCCAGCAGAATAAACTTGCAAAACCTACTTTGGCACCCACCGGCTGAAGCTGCGGCTTCAGATTAGCCGAGTTGAGCAAAGCCAGAGCTAAAAACCCCAGCACCAACTCACCCCGTCCTCAACAGCTGCCCGGTGAGAGGCTGGGGTGCCACTTCCAACCCCACCACCATCCCAGCCTGGGGCCCTCCTGGGGAAAAAGCAGCAGAGACAAGAATTTTCTTTAGATGTGCGGAAAACAGCACCCAGCCTTTCCATTACCTCTTCCCATCTCAATCCCTTCCAATTTTACAGCACCAGGATTATGTTCACCAGTGTTTAAAAGGAAACCTGTCCCTAAATGCTGGCCCAGGACTTGCCTGGATAGTTTTATTTCCACGGCCGAGGTCTCATTCCTGAATGAGAGGTGCAGGAGCCCATTTTTATTGAACAGACCCTTCAGATGGGCCACACAGGCTGGGACACGTCCCCGGGTTGGACTGGGAGAGATATCCCCACCACCACCCCAGGATGGTGGAAGCGCCAGCCCCATGCTCACCACGCACAGGCTATTTAAGTAGCTCCGGAGGGAGCCATCACAGCACAAGACAAGCTAGAGCAGCTCCTAAATCAGTCCTTCTTTATGCCACTCCAGTCCCCAGATCCCTCCGAACACCAGGAAACCCAGAAAGTCACATTAAATCATTTTTATCCCTTGTTCTTCCTTCTTGTCCTGAGCCGTGCTGACCTCAGCTCAGCCTCACTGAGTCACGAGGAGCCAAATTGGAGGTGCAGAGCTGCTCCCCAAAACTATTTCACCACCCAGAACCAGCGTGGGAATAGGTGGGATGCATCCAGCACGGTGGGGGGGTGGTGTGGACCCGAGCCCACACGGCACAGACAGCTCTGGGAAGGCTGTGCAGGAGATGCAGTGCTTGAAGTGATTGAAAAGCAGGTGATGGCACAGACATTTGGAAGTTTTATGAAGATCTTTTATCGAAATCACAGTAGTTAGTGACGTGCAGCCTATTAAAGGTATCCAGCACGCCGCTGGGGCCAGGACAGCATTAGTGCTGCCGTATATCCTCCAACGCTGTGTTCCTTCTGGTTTTAGGAGGCCCCAGGGTCCTTCCAGCACTGCTCTTGGATGAATATTCTGGAGCTTAATAGCCCTGGCTACTAGTAAGCTTTTTTTGAGGGATTCATCACTCCTTTGCTCCCTTCTGCACAGTCGGCCGGGGGAACCGGGCTGCTCACCTTCCGTTAGCATTAAGGAGGTGTTTTGTCTTCTTTTGCCCCAAAGTGCCACTGCTCCAGGGGAGCAAGTGCCATCCACACCAAGCAAGTGGCTCCATAGCGATTAAAAAGTGATTGAACCCCCAGGTAACTGCCACGGCATCTGTCCGAGATGGTATTTCTAACCTGATTCAGATTTCCAACCAGCCCAGGAGGCGACAGGCGTTGCTTCAGGCAGGCACCTTAGACGCAGTCACCGCACGGATTTGTCACCCACCTTCCTCCCCTCCTCAAAACTGCAAGAGAAACCTCCCTGTCCAGATCCCAGCACCGCAATCGCAGTTAAAAGCTGGACCGGTTTGCTGTGCAGATGGGAGTGCTAGCAGGGCATTCGGCGAGAGCATCCTGCATCTCACAATGTGCTCTTTCCCCCGTAGTTTGTTCCATCTTTAGCGTCGCTGCAAGATCTGGCTTTCCAAAGCAGCTCAGGAAAAAGGGGGAATATGAAAAGGATACAGAGACGAAGGTAAAGTGAGGTAAAGAAGAGGAATCGTCTCCTAGGGGGTGAGAAAATGCTGGGTTTAATTCTAGTCTTGTCCCTGGCAAGTTACTTCTCGGTACTGCAACTTCTGCTGAAAGATGGGAAAAGGACAACTGCTGCCTTCAGCGGGACGAACCCCACCATGAGCAAATCTAGCTTTCTGTAACAGCAAACCAGTGGCTTCTGTTTCCTTTTTAAGTGCAAAACGGCCTTCCACCCCTTTACTTCTGGAATACTATAGAAACCCAACTGCCCAGCTTGGGGGAAGAGGATCTGCATTTCCTTCTTCCTTTTACGATTTCCCAAGTCAAAGAGGAGCAGTGCCCTGGCATGGCTATGATTTGCCACCTCCCATCTGTGCCACAGAGAGGGAAGGGGAGAATGTTATTGCCCAGACTTACACATGCATGTCCATAAAACCAAAATCACAAATAAATTCAAAATAAACTTCCTACCAGGCCTGTGCTTCTGGCAAAGGAGATCCCGAACCCTCTAGGGAGAAGGGAAATGCTCCGCATCCATTTTGAGCAGGTAGAAGGGGCCACCCACAACCCCCCAAATCAAAACACCCTGGAAATATTACAATTCTCTCTATTTTTTAATGATTTTATGGGTGGGAAGGGAAAGAAGACTGCACAGCCACACGGCCATGTGATGGAGGAGGAAGCATCACTGCAGCTGCCCGCGTTAGAGGAATAAAAATTAAACCTCCCCAATAAATCCAGGCCCAAAGAGTCTCCCCTCGCCTCATCCATCACCTCCCAAAGGGCTCAGCCACCCTGCCCCACGCCGTGCCTCCCTCTGCCATACCCACAGCTGGGTCCTGCAGCCTCCCGAGGTGGGGGACTGGGAGGAGAAGCAGCATTTTGCCTTTCCCCGATGGCCAGACTGGAGGGAACAGGATGGGGAAGAGCCGAGCCTGGAGGCAGAGGGTAGCACCACAATCCCACCTGTTCCCCTGGTGCAAGATAAAACAGTTTCTAAGGGCAGAGCCAGTGACTCCCACGGGTCCCCCCAGTTGTCCCCTCACCCCAGTTTTCTCCCTTCAGGCCAGTTTTACACACACACACACCCCCCCCCCCAGCCTGGGATGCTCCTCTCTGGGGACTGATGGGGACTCCTCTCCACCACAGCTCCCCGACACCCTCCTTTGGTGCACCCACCCAACCTGTCAGAGCCCTCTGAGCCCCCCCCATCATCCCCTGAAGGGGGGGGGGGACACGACACCCCCTCACCCCCTCCCCAGCCCCGGGTTGGTTTGCCTGGGTTGCAGGCAGCAAAGGGTTACGCTCGGAGGTGCCGCTCTGCTCCCAGCACCTGGCAGGGGAGGGAGCGAGGAGGGGATGGAGCGGAGTTTCATTGAGTCTCCAACAAGGCAGCGAGGAGCAGGCAGGGGAGCGGGCAGAGGAAGAGGCAGAGGAAGAGGCAGAGGAAGAGGCAGAGGAAGAGGCAGAGGAAGAGGCAGAGGAAGAGGCAGCGGCAGCAGGTGAAGCCGCCTCCCGCCGCCCGGTCCCGCACAGCGGGGTGGGAGCTGCCGGAGCCACCATGGGCCGGGGGGGGGGCCTAGGAACCGGTTTATAAAGGGGGACACCCCTTTCCCTTCGCTGACGTTCGTCGCTTAAAAAGAAGGGAGGGAAAAGAAAACCAAAAAAAACCCAAACAAACAAACCCGTAATCATTAAAAAACAAAACAAAAACAAAACCAAAACCAGCAAACCCACCCAAAGCCTCTCGAAATTTGATCTACGGCGAAGGCGGGCGGCACCGGCTGGAAAATGCATCTCCCTCGGAGCTGCATCGTCCTCCTCATCCAGGGGAGCATCTCTCTGCTGGTGAGTGCTGGGGATGGGGAAGGGGGGGACCCGGGGGGGGGGGTCGTGCTGCTAAAGGGGCAGAAGGGGGTTGACAGCCAGGAACATTTCCCAAATCAATTTATTCCATTCACCACCACCCCCCATGCCCCCCACCCCTCATGCCCTGGAAAAGCAAACGTCCCAAAACTTCTCGTATTTTGCAGCAGGTAGTGGGGGGGCAGCGGGCAGGGTGGGCTCGCAGGCAGGGCTGGTGATACAGGTACCTCCTGACCACCCTAAAAATCTGCAGCACCCCCCCCCCCCCCCCCCCCCTCAGCACAGCAGTCCTGGTAGAGCTGCTGGGGGCTGCTCGCCCGCCCCCCCCAGCCCCCGGGCTGGGGCAGAGCTCCGGCACAGCCTGGCAGGCCGACCTTGACCTCGGCTTCCCCGCTGCCTTCTCGGGCCAGGTGAGCCCTTCGCACCCCTGGGACCACGGCGGGTGTTTGCTCAGCAGCCCAGCACCGAGGGCGATGGGGCTGCGGCATCCGCCTCCCACCCGGGGAACACCCCCCAGACCACCCTCTGGGTGCCCACAGCTTCGCAGCAAGGGAGCCTTCACCCCGACAGCCCCCCAGCCCCTGTCTCCACTTATTTTGGGGTCCACGGCAGAGTCCCCGTGATGGCAGCAGGAGAGTTTGCAGAGGAGCCCGTGCGTGGCTGTTAGAGGCAAAGGGCATCTCCTCGGTCTCTCACCTCTGCCCCTCACCTGTCCTGCTGCTCCCCGCTCCGTCTCCCCACCGGCCCGTGGCACAGTTTGGAGGTCAGAAGAGGGTTCCATGGGACGTGCCGTCAGCAGCGAGACCGGTGCGAAGGCCACGAGGAGGGCACCCTCATCGTCCGTGCGCATCCTCCCCCGTAGCACCCTCGCCCCAGCAGCTGCGGAGATCCCCCAGGTGCAAGCGCTCTGCCAGGCACCAGCAATGAGCAAAATGCAGCCGTCCTGGCTCCTTTCACCCATTCCCTGAGCAACCGTGAGAGGAGATTGAGAGCAGAGGGAAATTGCTACCAGAGGGAAATAGGAACTACAGAGACAAGTAAAGAGGAAAGGCAAGAGAAAAGGGAAGTAAAGAAAGCAAGGGTGGGAAAGAGGATGGCTGGGTCATGTCTGAAGAAGTGGGGTGACTCTGGAGAGCAAGACTGGGCAAGGGCGGGTAGGGACCCATCACCCATCTCTCACTTTCCACCGTTGCTACATTCAGGTGATCTGTGGCCAAGAAGAACCAGGGGAAGGTGCAGAGCAACGTGAACCCAAGACCCAGGAGAGAGCTCAAGTGCAGAAGATGAGAAGGCTGCTGTCTCCAAAGTCCCTGTTAACTCCAACCTTACTGCAGAACATGACCCTCCTGGAGGTGGTGAGCAGCTCACAGGAGTTATGGGATATCCTGGATAACCTCTCCGAGCCGAACCGCGCTCCACACCCCAGAGGACAGAGGGACTTGGGGCCAGCCTCAGGCAAGCTTAAAAAAATTTTTGGCTGGGGAGATTTCTATTCCAATATCAAGACGGTGAAGTTGAACCTCTTGATCACCGGAAAGGTGGTTGATCACGGCAACGGCACAGTCAATGTCTTCTTCCGACACAACTCTACTGGGCAAGGGAACATCTCCGTCAGCCTCGTCCCCCCCACCAAGGCAGTGGAGTTTGACCTGGAGCAACAGATCTTCATTGAGGCCAAAGAATCCAAAATCTTCAACTGCCGCGTGGAGTATGAGAAAGTAGATCGTGCTAAGAAGACCACGCTCTGCACTTACGACCCATCTAAGACCTGCTACCACGAGCACACCCAAAGCCACGTCTCCTGGGTCTGCTCGAAGCCCTTCAAAGTCATCTGCATCTACATCACCTTCTACAGCATAGACTACAGGCTGGTGCAGAAAGTGTGTCCCGACTACAACTATCACAGCGACGTACCCTACTACCCCTCGGGATGATGCGCTCTGCCCATCGTAGGATGCCCCGGTGACGAGCGGGTGCTGGGGGGGGCGGGGGGAGGGATGGGGATGGTTTTGTAAGCAGGGGCAGGAGCACAGTGGTCCCTAGAAACCAGAAGCAAGGAAGGAAGAGGAGGATTTTCCATTTTCCCCAACAGCTCCAACATCAAGAGGATGAATTTTAGGCTATGGGGTACCGGCGTCGCTAAACCTGGCCTGGATTTGTGGTCTTTAGAGACTGGTCCACAAAGGCAGAGTCTGAATTTAGGGTACAGAAAATAGGGCATAAAGCCACAATCAGGACTTGTGTTTCTCAGTGCAATAATGGATTTGCCTGGATCTAGGCCACACGGTCCTAAAAGGTTGGTGACCAGGCAAAGAGGGCTCCAGAAGCAGGCTTAGGCAGCCTGGAGCCCCGGGGAAGACCTCAGGGGTGGGGAGAAAGGTACGTGATGCCCTCCATGGCTGTAAGACATCCATGGGCAGCCACATCATCTCCCCCACATCCAAGTTCTGCAGTGGCAGGAGGTGGAGCTCAGTTTTCCCCCATCGAGGTGCAGAGGGCTACTGGGATGGAAACGGGGAACCGGGGAGGGCAGGGAGGGACCTTCCTGGGGTGCCACCCCACCACGGCTCACACCGGGCGCGACGGCGCAGGGGGGGTTTCAGGGACTTGAAACTGTGGATCTGCAGGTAGAGAAAGCCGGGTGGAATCCGTCCAATCTGCTGACACAATATATGATTCATGTGTTTCCCCTGACACGCTGTGATTCATGCGTTTCCCCTTCATCTCATCCGTGCTTCGTCTCGCTGCCGGTGCCCCAGCGCCCGCTCCCACCCTCACCCGGCCACGTCCAGCTCCAGGCGCTGCCGTCCCTCGGTGGAAAGGTGCGCGCCCGTGCGCGTATGTGTATGTAAAATGGAGCTCTGACTGTAGCATTTAATTTACTTTAAAGGATAAAAAAAAAAAAAACAACAAAAAAAAAACCACAACAACACTGTCCTTGAGAGAGAGAATAAAGTTTTCACAGTGGCACCGAGGCAGGTCAAGTGTTTTTACTGAGAGCAGTTTCAGTCTCCTCAGGGGAGAAGGAAAATGAACTGATGGGGTTGTGAACGAGGCACAGGGCATCGCCAGGACCCGGGCCCAAATTCAGCTCCTTTCAGATGCGTCTGAACTGGCCCCCTGTAGTACCTGGGTGTTGGGTCCAGCTTTGGGGTCTACCGGGACTCGGGCTGGCACCCAGACGCTTGGTTGCTCTTGCTGGTGTGTGGGCTCATTCTGCACCACTGATGGGTGTTGCCAACCTCCTCCCCTTCCTCTTATATTCAAACTTCAGGCTCCCACTGATGTGGACACATTCCCTCCGACAGAGAAGACCAAAAAAAAAGCAGCTTCCCCCCTCCCGCATCAGCCCTTCCTTTTCCCCAAAAAATTCCCCATATCCAGAGCACCAGACCAGCTCCAAAAATCCCCTTACACCTCAGCAGAGTCACGAGGCAGGTATCGCCACCAGCACAGGTTTTATGCTTCAGCCTTCACAAGTCAAATTCCTTCTCTACAGCTTGGAGAGAGGTTTGCTGGCTGCTGGCAAAGTTTCATTTTATGCACTTTTACATCTAGACAGAGGCCAGTTCCAAAATACATCGAGCAAAGAAAGCCTTTTAGTGCAATAATCAATGAGAAGACTTTTACTCTGAGAACAGAAAGTTTAAAATGCTGTGAGAGCATGGTTGCAGAAAATAACAGGAGCAATATTTGGTATTGGGGGGGGGGGTGGGGGGTGGATGGGCGGGGAAAAAAGCCCTGTCAACAAGCTATCTCACAAAAGTATGTTCCCTGAGGGTTCACGCTTGCTTTAAGGCAGGAACACAAAAAGACAGGTTAAACCCATTTCTGCCAGCACAGACAAAACAAACAAAACCACCGCACACAGAATTTGCTCATTTTGGGAAATTTCAGACAATTGCCATTTGAAGAAACAGAGCAGGCAGCGGGAGCAGAGAACCAGGCTACAAAGGATGCACCATTGTCAAAAGTGATGTGGCGGCGGCAGTTACTAGGAGACCAGGACGGGCCATTATTCGGGCTTGGGAGAAGAGGATTCCTGCTAGAGGAGTCACAACCCATGCTCAGAAAAGAAGGATTTTGCTGAGCTGGAGGGCAAACAATACAAGAGAAAAAAATCCCCCCACCCTAAATCTGCCTGCCCTTAACCCCCCTGCTCACCCTCTGCTACAACGAGGTGCAAGGGAGAGCCTTTCCACCGGCTCCTTTGGTAAAATTTGTTAGAGGCTAAGTCAAGGTGTACTTGAATGCATTCGCTTATAGTTTACGATTATTTGCTTTGTGGGGTGTTGCTCAAGCTGTGCTGCACAGTGGAGGTTGGCCACAGAGTTGTTCCTGCTTCTTCAGCGGAGGAGTTAAATCCCTGCGACTGCCTCTGCTGCAATATTACACAAGAAACCAAGGTTTAATTTCTTTCCCCATTAGTACTTGGACATAAAATAGATTTGGGGGTGGGGGGAGCTAAAATTTATCCAAATGAAGTTCCATGAGTTGCAAACTTCTTTACAAATGAAGCAGCATGTAATGACTGTGGAAAGCAGACTTCAAAAACCCTCCGTGACTCCAGGGTTCAGCAAAGTGCCACAGAAGTATTCGCAGGCGTTTTTGCAATTAGAGCCTATCTCCACTTATGAAATGCAGCCCCTTATCATCTTTGGCAACTCAGTGGATGGCCAATCTCTTTGTCTCCAAAGCAGGAAAAGCCCTGATGGGAACTACTTACCGCTGTCATCTACAACTACACAGTGAATGTTCTCCATCTCCAGTAATTAGCTCTCTTTAGTTTGTTAATACTTTTTCCTCTTCCCCACAAAATCCTCCTGATTTAAATTTCATGAGTCACCCAGCTGAGCTAACCTGTGCTTCTGCACATTTGGAAACTGGATTCCCAGAACAGCCTGCTCCACCCTCCCACCAAAGTCAATCAGCAGCCCCCGGCCATTAATTGCACTCATTAGAGCTGGTAGGGACCAGTCAATCCGGGCTCCCCAGCACTGGTATTAGATGAGTCAGAAAAAAATCAGGAGCTGATGGACTTGCTGCAGGAATACAACCAGCCCAACATCCCCCCAGTCCCGACACCGCTCTCCATCCCCGGTGGCGGCTCCCATCGCTTCTGTCTGCTCCGGTTTTACGGACTGAAGTGACGAGACATCTGGTTTAGTGGTGAACTTGGCAGTGTAAGGCTTGTGGTTGGACTTGATGATCTTAAAGGTCTTTTCCAACCTAAATGATTCCACGATTCTTTAAAGTGCTGTTTAATTCTCCCATTAAGATAATTTTCTCAACTCTGAGATCAAGTGCTCCCTTATTAATTTTGTCCTATATCGTAAAAAATAATTGGGACTAATCAACCTCAGATAAATCTAAATCCATCTCTCTGTAGGTTACTGGGACCTCTTCTCCCTTTGTAATCTTCCGGTCAATCAGACTTTGTCTTTGTACTGTTTCCTATTTACCATATCCAAAAAACACAGCAGTGGCCTCAGATTCAAAATGAGACTCTCATGGCCAGCTATCACCTCCAAAATGTGCTAATGCAGTACTCCAGGGTTTTGGAAAGGACAAAACTCACAGGATGGTACAATTTAATGCAAAGGTGGCACAACCGGATCCTTCTTACTGCTACAACAGCTTCAAGGCATCAATTTTCCTCAACATGGGGTCAGTCGGGTTTTTTTCCAAACATAAACATTTTTAGCAGGTTCCAGCCAGACGTCAAGATCCTGAACAAGAAGGAAGTTTGTTCATGAAAAGCCTCCAGACAAACTAATGAGCAGCAAAAGGTTATTGTCACAAGAGCCCTGCTTGATGTGAGAACTTCTTTAAAGGCATCGACATTATGGAGGTGCTCACCTTTGAGGTTTTCACCAGAATTTGGCATATTTGGAGGAGTTCCCAGAGCGGTGGCTATCACAGTCATTTGGTTACTCAAGAACTTCAGCCTCTAGAAAAATAAACAACTGGCTTAATCAGAGGAAAACTAATAAAATGGGATTTCTAGAGGCTTGGAAGTCAAAAACCACAAATATAAACCTCAATTGGTGTTAGACTTCACAATTTCTACATGTAGCTCTCTTTACGGCCCATCTCAGATTTTCTTTTATGAAGTTTTCAGGCTGGTGACACTGAGGTCCCTGCAGCTGGATAAGCGTATGACACGGTGCTTGGAGGGCACTGGAAGCTCAAAGCATTTACATTTGTGTTGCTCTTATTTTTTTTTGCATCCCCCCCCGAGTCTCCAGCACAGCTCCCCGGGTCACCAATGACGTCGCAGCTCCCGTAACATCCCCTGCCAGGACGAGCCTGGCCCTTTGTTCCTAAACCAAACTGCCGAGGTTGAGCCTCACAGAGGGAATCCTGACCTAAGTGCTTTCACAACACAAATAAACATATTTATGGTTTCATGCCCAAACTATCAAATGGCTAATAGAGCCTTTGCTAAGCTTTAGCTTAGGTGGGCTACGGATGCTGTGTGTGTGCAGTGCTGCTTCTTTACAGAGATTATTAGACTTTAATGAGGTCTAGTGAGTCAGCCAAGGCTTTATGCTTGTAATCCCCCATTTGAACAGCCATAGGTAGCTCCTGGATGCATTAATGTTGCTCTTCTGGGTGCATAAAAGCAACTTTGGATCCAATTTTGTTGTAATGGTTAGTGCCAGGCCAGCATCACACTGAACACAGAGCGACGGCGTTTGCCCGAGATCTCAGAGCCGGGGCAGTGCGGGTGCCCGGGGTCCCACTCCAGCCCACGGCCCCTGCCCCCCCGGGGAGCCAAAGTGCCTTTCAAGTCCTCTTGAAGTCTCTTCACCACCGCTCTGTGTCATCTTTCCTTTGCTAAGGGAAGAGCTTCTCCTCTTCGCAGATCCAGTTTCGCGGTGCCAGCGTAAGCTGTGCTAAGGACAGACATCTCATTCTCCAAGCAGTTCAAGAATCTTAATTCCTGGGTATAAATCCTGATCATGCTATTGGC